AGTAAACTGGCCTTTTAGAGATGAGCGAATCGAACCAGGCGAAGTGGAATTCGATTCGAATTTCAGGAAAAAATTTGATTTGCGTCGAATCCGAATATTAGCCTACTTCGGGTGCGCGAATCGGATTTTTCCCGATCAGCCGGCAAAAGTGTCCCTGCAGAGAGCTCCGCTATTTCTGACAGTTCTCTGACATAGAACTGTCAGAAATAGAGGAGCTCTTCAGATACACTTTTTGCCGGCTTGGAATTCTTCTTATTTTCATCCTACTTCTTCTTCTTCTTCTTCTTCATCCTCATCCTCATCCTCAGAAGAAGAATAAGAGGATGAGGATGAGGATGAAGAAGAAGAAGAAGAAGTAGGATGAAAAATAAGAAGGAATTCCAAGCCGGCAAAAAGTGTATCTGCATAGCTCCGCTAAGTGTATCTGCAGAGCTCCGCTAAGAAATAGCGGAGCTCTGCAGATACACTTTTCTGCCGGCTTGGAATTCTCCTTCTTCTCATCCTTCTTCTTCTTCTCATCCTTCTTCTTCTTCTCATCCTTCCCATCTTCTCATCCTTCTCCTTCTTCTCATCCTTCTTACTTCTTCTCATCCTTCTCCTTCTTCTCATCCTTCTTCTCTCATCCTTCTCCTTCTTCTCATCCTTCTTCTCATCCTTCTCCTTCTTCTCAAAAATATGAACTTCTTCTCATCCTTCTCCTTCTTCTCATCCTTCTCCAAGAAAAAAAAAAAACTCATCCTTCTCCTTCTTCTCATCCTTCTCCTTCTTCTCATCCTTCTCCTTCTCACTTCTTCTCATCCTTCTCTCCTTCTTCTCATCCTTCTCCTTCTCCTTCTTCATCCTTCTCCTTCATCCTTCTTCTCATCCTTCTCCTTCTCCATCTTCTCATCCTTCTCCTTCTTCTCATCCTTCTCCTTCTCCTTCTTCTCATCCTTCTCCTTCTTTTCAATCCTTCTTCTCATCCTTCTCCTTCTCTCATCCTTCTTCTCAACCTTCTCCTTCTTCTCATCCTTCTCCTTCTTCTCATCCTTCTTTCTTCTTCTCATCCTTCTCCTTCTCATACCTCGCTCACTGTCTTTCTCATCCTTCTTCTCATCCTTCTCCTTCTTCTCATCCTCTTCTCTTCATTCTCCTTCTTCTCATCCTTCTCCTTCTTCTCAATCCTTCTCCTTCTCCTTCTTCATCATCACTTCTCCTTCTTTCTCATCTTATCTCCTTCTCCCTTCTTCTCATCCTTCTCCTTCTTCTCATCCTTCTCCTTCTCCTTCTTCTCATCCTTCTCCTTCTCTCATCCTTCTCCTTCTCCTTCTTCTCATCCTTCTCCTTCTTCTCATCCTTCTCCTTCTCCTTCTCCTTCTCCTTCTTCTCATCCTTCTCCTTCTTCTCATCCTTCTCCTTCTTCTCATTCCTTCTCCTTCTCCTTCTTCTCATCCTTCTCTCCTTCTCCTTCTTCTCATCCTTGCTCCTTCTCCTTCTTCTCATCCTTCTCCTTCATTCTCATCCTTCTCCTTCTCCTTCTTCTCATCCTTCTCCTTCTCCGTCTCCTTCTTCTCATCCTTCTCCTTCTTCTCATCCTTACTCCTTCTCCTTCTTCTCATCCTTCTCCTTCTCCTTCTTCTCATACCTTCTCCTTCTTCTCATCCTTCCCTTCTTCTCATCCTTCTCCTTCTTCTCATCCTTCTCCTTCTCCTTCTTCTCATCATCTTCTCCTTCTCCTTCTTCTCATCCTTCTCCTTCTCCTTCTTCTCATCCTTCTCCTTCTCCTTCTTCTCATCCTTCTCCTTCTCCTTCTTCTCATCCTTCTCCTTCTTCCTTCTTCTCATCCTTCTCCTTCTTTATCATCCTTCTTCTTCTTCTCATCCTTCTCCTTCCTTCTTCTCATCCTTCTCCTTCTCTTCTCATCCTTCTCCTTCTCCTTCTTCTCATCCTTCTCCTTCTTCTCATCCTTCTCCTTCTTCTCCTTACCTTCTCCTTCTCCTTCTTCTCATCCTTCTCCTTCTTCTCATCCTTCTCCTTCTCCTTCTTCTCATCTTCTCCTTCTCCTTCTTCTTATCCTTCCTCATCTTACTCGATCCTTCTCCTTCTCCTTCTCCTTCTCCTTCTTCTCATCCTTCTCCTTCTTCTCATCCTTCTCCTTCTCCTTCTTCTCATCCTTCTCCTTCTCCTTCTTCTCATCCTTCTCCTTCTCCTTCTTCTCATCCTTCTCCTTCTTCTCATCCTTCTCCTTCTCCTTCTTCTCATCCTTCTCCTTCTCCTTCTTCTCATCCTTCTCCTTCTCCATCTTCTCATCCTTCTCCTTCTTTTCATCCTTCCCTTCTTCTCATCCTTCTCCTTCTTCTCATCCTTCTCCTTCTTTCTCATCCTTCTCCTTCTTCTCATCCTTCTCCTTCTACTTCTTCTCATCCTTCTCCTTCTCCTTCTCCTTCCTCATCTCCAAGGGCATTTAAATTAAAGTGGTACAGTGTTCTGCACTAATTTAAAGGCTCTCTGAAGCCTAGAAGAAACCCTTTTTTTAAGTTAACTTCGTAGCGAATAAATTCGCATCGAGTCAAATTTCTTCCTCAAATTCCACGAATCAGCCG